GGGAAAGACAGTCTGGAGGGTGTCTGCTGAGGCAGTGTGTACCAGCTGCTACTGAAGGACTAATGGCTAGCATTAACTGGGGACTGGCAGAGTGGCAAAGAGAGCCAAATGCTGCTTGTGTGTGACCAACGCTCTCTGGGGTCAACTGGGTCTGCTCACCTGGGACTCCAGACTTGAGCTTCTCGTCAGCTCTGCCACTTGCTCTGCTTGAGCAAGTCTGTTCCTCAGTTTCCCCACCTGCTGCGAAAGAGGATGATGACATTAGCTTGCTCTGTGGCATGCTCTGAAATCCTTGGGTGAAGAAGGTGAGGTCTCCAGCATCTGCACTCCTCTTGTATGAGTGTTTTCACATGAAGAGACTTGCTGCTCAAGCACTTGGGTCCTGGGGAAATCTGGTGTGTGGGTAAGGAGTGCAGGACTGGGGCTTCATTCCCCACCCCCTCCCCCCCAGTCTCTTTTCACTCTTAAATCCCATCCTTTAAACATTAAGAGCCAAAATGTGGCTGCAACTGCAAGGGGAATTTTACAGGGTGTCCTTCAGGAGTCCTTTCAACCTCACTCCAGTCCAGGCTTCTGCTTGGTCACTGATGGTGAGACACGGGCCAGAACATCCCTCCGTGCGGTGCCAGGGTCCTGTGATGTCAGCCTCTAACACATCGCAGGTACAGCTGCTGCTCTGTGTTCACTGTGATTTGTGGCAGGAACTCCAGGCGCAGGGATGGCGGTAGCGAGTCAGTCGAGGACAGCAGGATTACAGTTCTTGGCAGTCTCCAGTAACAGGCTTTTTCCTCCTCCTGCCTACCCCTTTAATGAATACTCTGGCTTCCTGAGCTAGTCGATGAATAGGCTTAATGCATCAGCCCCTAGGTCTCGCACAACAGCAGATGCATATTCAGTGTAAACACTGCGTCTCTCTCTTTTTCCCTTCCCCTTTAGATGCTGGAGACACTGTGCCTTGCCCATTGGCTCGGCTACGTCTGCTGTGACTTTGTTGTGGCTCAAAGTGTTTGTCCTGATGGGACACTGTATTTAAATGCTGCAAGCCACACACAAAAAAGGGGGGGGGAGTGGAAAGGACCTAGAATTAGATCCTCCCATAGCTAGATTGTGGAATAGCTTCTCCACTGCGGCACTGCGTCATAAAATTACTACGCTGCAGTACTACACTGTAAAACACCGACACTGTGTATAATGACTGGTGTTTTATGGAGCTGTGCGGGTATAACTTTGAATTATGGGCTGCTTTAAAACCCTGCAGTCTGTTTCATCACATTCTAATGAAATGGGCTGGCTTGCCCTCTCCAGCTTCTGTGCTATGTTATTTCCCCAGGCTTTTTTTCCTTCTGGATGGCAGTGGAAATAAATATTGGTCCTAAGCAGTGAAGTTCAGATCCACCTCCTGGCTTTTCTGAATCTGCCAAGAGGCAGAAAGGTTCAGATCCAGGGTATTCTCTTCCCTCTCCCTCTCCCCACACCCTGACTGTGAAATCTGATTTAGATCCTGAGGCTCATCTGCAAAATTGAGAGAGGTTTGGATTTGGAGTTTGGCTGGGGCTGATCCCACATGCTCCTTCTCGTTCTACTCCTGCAGCTTGTTCGATGCAAATGGACTTTGTTGGTTTGAGTGAGGCTTGTGGAAATGAACTCCCCAGGTGGAAATAAATTGTAGGGTGAGGAGTCTTGCTTACAACTCCAACTGAGTTCACCAGCTAGCACTGGGACCTGCCATGTCAGTGGTGTCCTTCATTCACAGCCCAAGAATGACGGCTGAATGCTTTTGTTGATGCTTGTGAGCCTGCAGTAAGAATCCAAGTCCCCACGACAGTGTGGTTTGTAGGCAACTCTCTCTCCAGAGCATGCAGCATCAATTCAGCCTCTCAAAATGTCAGCAGCCTTTGCAGACAGCAGACTCATAAAGATCTTAAAGATGTAGTGCACAGAAAAAGAAGTGGGGAAAGAACTGGCCATGAGATGCAGCTTAAGTTTTTATATTTGCACTTACCTAACCATGCCCTTTGGTAGGGTCTTTTGCCTGGCAGGTATCTGGTGCTGGGACCGAGGGCAGGTGAATAGCTATAAAGGTTTTGAATGTGCTTGTGATACTTGAATCCTGACTTGACTGATCAGTCTCCCCCATCTCTGCAGACATTCCTGGGACTGTCTCTTGTCTGTCCTAAGACTTAAAGATCATGGTTTTTATTGCTCTTTTGCGTCTTGATGCTCTTGGCACCTTCACATCAAGCCACTGTAATTCTAGAGAGTGGCTGGTGATGGCTTCCGGCACTAACGCTCAGATCAGCACAAAGCTCAATTGTAGTGTGAAGCACAGAGCGCTGTGGAATGAGGGGCTGATCAACCTTCAGGCAGCTCCCAGCCTCCTTTACAAGGGCACCTAGAAGGGAGCACAGCTCCCCAGCGAAATAACATCACACGATAATCTCAGGGATGCTGTAAAGCAGGGGTGTCAAAGATCCGGTGAATGAGGACCCTACCGCTGCCAAAATTTGGGGTATGGAGGCCTGTTGGGGATGCATTTTGGACATGGTTGCAGTGACCCCCACGGCTGTTTGCTTCACTGACTTGGCCCATGAGCAGCCCCATGGGTCTGGATTGGGCCCCAGGGGGCTGGGCAAGTTTGACAGCCCTGCTGTAAAGTGAAATGAGGCCCAGCATTGTTGGGGCGCTCTGAAAGCAGCACCGTTCCATGTAGCTGCAGCAGTTTGCTCACACAGACCTCCCTGCCTTCAGGACCAGGGGCTCTTTGGCCAACGGAGACCCAGCAGAGAGCATCAGAGGCAGAAACGGCTGTTAGTAAAACTAGACCCCCCAAAGGCCAATCCTACAATGTGCATGGAAACAAAGCCTCTGTGAGCATCTTATCTGTGTAACAATGATGCTGTCTGGCACTGAACCGGTGCTCCTTGACTTTGGCCAGTTTGGGTCAAACCCCAGCTCCTGGAGTCATGTAAATATATGAGAATCTCAACTTTAAAAAAAAAAAAAAAAAAAAAAAAGAACTTTTCTTTTTCATGGTGCTAGAGGAAAGCTTGAAAGTGAGACCCAAATCTCTGAGGTACAGAGGGTGAATGAAGAACTCAGAAGATATTGCTTTTTTAATCAAAACTCCTGATTTTTTTTTTTTTTATGGCACCACTCACGATTTTGGAGCAGATCAATGCCCTGAAGACAAGCAGCTGTTTGAAATGAAACCAACCTGGAGGTTTTGGGGTTTGCTGAATGCCTTGATCCTTCTGAGAAATGGAAAGTTAAATTAAAAAAAAAAAAAAGCAGAAAAATGGGGTGAGACTCCTGGAGAAGAGAGAGGCCACCAGCCATTTCATCCATCACTCATTGTATGGCTTGGGGTGCTTTGGCTTTTCAGCTGGTTTCACGCACGCACCTTTGATTTAATATTCGAGGCAATCATGTTATCAGCTGAAATCAAATTCCTGGGCTCCTTCATTAGCTCGCCCAACAGGATTAATGTATTTCCATTATCTTTCAATAAGCAGCTCAAGTTTCTGCATTGCACCCTGTCTACATGAAGTGATGGGGGGAGCTTGGCTGAGCCTTTTGATTTCCAAGCTGAGACAGAGACCAATGGAATCTCAATTGGTAATTTTTTTTTTTGAATCAGTGCCGATGCTTTAGTGTTGTGGGGGAAAGCGTGAGTATGTGGTAAACTCCATAAAGCCACTGAGTAACCTGCCACTGATTCAGAGTCTCGCATTTCTACAGTGCCTGTCATTCCCAAAGCATTTCCCTGCCTCCATACACACAACAGCAGTGAAATGCTGCTGTGCTGGGGTGAAGCAGAACAACCAATGCAAAAGGAGGAGGAAAAAGGAGTGTAAATCTCACTTGCCAAAAAAAGAATAAAAAAAGCCCCATGGGTTTTTAGTGCCTATACAGAGCAGCCTATTAACCACACAGGGACAGTGGGCCTACGTCCCCCCTGAAAGGATAATCCTCCCTGATTCAAAGGGAGGGGTGCTAAGTGTGCAGTCACAGATTCAGTGGGGCCAGAAAAGAGAAGGCAGGGACGGGAGGGAAGGTCACAGGCAAAGCAGGAGGGATCCGAGCAGAGGATGCCGGCGAGCGCCCGCTGCCCCTTGAACGCATCCAAGGAGCCTGCAGATACATCCTGCCCCGTGGAAGTGCCTGGAGATCTGGGGGCCGGGCAGCCACAGCCCCCAGGGGTCCCGGCCTTCCTGGGCCTCGCAGAACAGCGTCTAGGCTTGCGTCGCTTCCTCTGCAAGGCGCCAGCGCCCGCAAGCAATCACAGGATTTGTGGCTTTTTTAAAGATATTTTCCGTGCTCCAAGCCGAATCAGCCAAATCAAGTCCAAATCCGTAAGTCAGCCCAGAACCATAAGTGGCCCTACAACTGGCAACAGCCTCCACCCCCCTGGGGCTCCAAATCCTTCAGCAGGCATCCTATGCACAGGCCCAAGCCCGCAGGCTCGGGCCTCCAAGTTTCGCCTGCCCCCAGCCATCTGGCCGCCGGAGCCTCCCATTTCCACACAGGGGGCTTTTCATAAGGTGGGTGGCTGGGTGCCAAACCAGCTCTCCCGGGACCGCTTAGGGGAAACTGCCTCCGGGGACGCAGATACACGGTGTTTCCCCGCCAGGTAAGGGCAGGACCGCGTGCAGCGCGTCCCAGTGCCCAGGCCCCCGGCCCCGCCCTTGTCTAGGTCGCTGCCTCGGCGCTTCCCAAACTTCTCCTCGGCGGCCCCGCTCCCCGCCCGCAGCTGGGCCGGGGGCGCGCCCGGGCGGGAGGC